ATATGGAGTAATAGGAGGAGTTATAGAGAGAGGTTATATGGAGTAATAGGAGGAGTTATAGAGAGAGGTTATATGGAGTAATAGGAGGAGTTATTGGGAGAGGTTATATGGAGTAATAGGAGTTATTGAGAGAGGTTACATGGAGTAATAGGAGCAGTTATAGGGAGAGGTTATATGGAGTAATAGGAGGAGTTATAGGGAGAGGTTATATGGAGTAATAAGAGGAGTTATAGGGAGAGGTTATATGGAGTAATAGGAGGAGTTATAGAGAGAGGTTATATGGAGTAATAGGAGGAGTTATAGGGAGAGGCTATATGGAGTAATAGGAGGAGTTATAGTGAGATGTTATATGGAGTAATAGGAGTAATAGAGATAGGTTATATGGAGTAATTGGAGGAGTTATAGAGAGAGGTTATATGGAGTAATTGGAGGAGTTATAGAGAGAGGTTATATGGAGTAATAGGAGGAGTTATAGAGAGGTTATATGGAGTAATAGGAGGAGTTATTGGGAGAGATTACATGGAGTAATAGGAGGAGTTATAGAGAGAGGTTATATGGAGTAATACAAGGAGTTATAGGGAGAGGTTATATGGAGTGATAGGAGGAGTTATAGAGAGAGGTTATATGGAGTAATATAAGGAGTTACAGAGAGAGGTTATATGGAGTAATATAAGGAGTTATAGAGAGAGGTTAAATTGAGTATTACATTAAACATTAATGCAATAAGCAAATATTTCTAAAAGACCTTAACATAATTCAGTGGGCAATAAAATCCCAAACCTTGCATTTATACTTACTCTGTCCAGGTAAGTGGCCAATCGATCATTCAAGTTCTGCATGGTCTCTTTGCCATTGTTCTGGAAGCCGATACTCTCATGAGCATTAAATCCTGCGGCAATGCCCGAGCTAACTAAAGGGGCATTAGAGGAGGAAATTCTGTAACTCCCAGCGCCTCCAGCTATACTGCCGGCTCTGTGCACCATAGGTGATGCCACTCCAAAACGGGAGTACTGGGAAGCGCTGCGGCTTGAGAAGCTCATTTTGGTTCTGCAGAGATGGTGAGAGTTCTAGAACAGAAGAGTTGTCTGCTGGAGGTTGAGCTGGGTCCCTCAGCCCATTCTGCTTTGGTTTATATACCCTTTCTAGAGGGAGTATCTGCATGTGTAACTTTATCTACAGAGGGAAAACCCACATAGCACAATCACTGTTTAAACAAAAGAGAATTCCTCAATGTAATTGTGTATGAGAATTCTTATCTGATGGGAATTCCCGATTAACCAGAAGCCTAATCTCTATACCTGATCAGTTGTGGAATGCACCCAATGGAATCTGTCAGTTGATTTGATCTGTGTTGCTGTAATTTTGGAGTAAGACAGGCTGGTGGGATTTTGTTTAAAGGGGAAAAATTAAATCACTAAGTCACTGTTATATTTTCTATGCAATTAGTACATTAGGGTAACCATATGGGGGCTGTGTAAAAAAGTTTTGTTTTAAAAAAAGGAATATTTTTACTAATCATTTACTAATTTACACTTTATCGAATGGTTTTAAAAAGGGGGAGCTTATATGTGAGGATCAAAGGAACACCCTAACGTTAAAAATAAATACTCGACTGTTAAAAATAAGTATATTTTTAAAGTGCAATGTACCCCCTTCCACTTTGTGAGAAGTTAAACTATTTTAGAGCGGATTTGCTTTATATTGGTGTACTAGGACATAATTTATATTAAGGCACTGCGACACAGTGGTGGGCTTATCACAATATGACCATATGGTGGTGTAACTGAATCCCCATATTTGTTTCCTAAGATATGTGATTTTTAAGCAGCTTTGTAAAATATGAAACTGTATTTTTTTGGGGGTGTGTGCACTGTTCCCTAATTTGTATTTTGTATATAGTTTAGTCTTTACACTAGGACCACAGCTTAGAATGCATGTTCCGGGTGTGCCCCCAATTCCCCTTTTTCTAATTTGGTGTCAGCTCTCTGTCAATGAACTAGCCCTGCACTGCAAAGCTTAGCTTAATGGCGATCAACATGATAATACAGAGGGTGAAGACTTTTGAAATTAAAGGGCTTAAGGAGGACGTGCATCTAGTGGCTGTCAGACAGACAATGCAACGAATGGTTTAGCCACAATGTAAAGATTGATATTTTTTTTTAAATGTTTTCCCCATGTAATCAAACAGCACCATATTGCTTCCATATTGCAACATTCCTCAAATTATTCCATTGCCTTATATATTGTCGTACAGCCCCCAGAATATAGTCACTTTGCCCTCCACATTAACCCTACATGTTATCGCATTGTCCCATATGCATTGCTCCATATGTTCTGTTTTATTGTCACATTGCCTGATTTATTGTTACTTTGCCCCATATATTGCTCCATATGTAGGGATACTGTCTTCCACATTACACATCTTGATATTGCTCCATATCTTGTTATATTACTCCCATATTTACTTCCAGATACATAGGCATATTGCTCCCAACATTACCCCTTTATACTGTCACATTTTCCTGTATACATTGCTTATATTATTTACACATTGTGTTATACATGACGCAACAAAGAATCGTACTTTGGGGGATACTTGCTAAATAATGAACCTACATAACCATTCTATCAAGAACCACAAGGAAACTGATATTGCACCCCCAATTGGACACAGTGGCGGATTCGGGCGGGAGGATTTGGGCAACTGCAGCCAATGCAGGGCCGTCGCTATCCGAGCACAGTCGATATCCCCCCTCCTTGTGCAAAGGTAAGAAGGGAGGGGGGAAATAAACCATAGTTATTTTAATTTAATAAAACAACAAAAAAATTTAAATCAGCCGCCAACACACAATAACTCCCTACACATTCACACACTGCTCCTCTATACACACACACACACACTGCCTCCCATCAGGGCCGCCTTTAACGCAGGGCAAAAGGGGAAGCTGCCCCGGGCCCAGTTGCTCCCGGGGGGCCAAGGCAGCTGCCTCTTGAGCCCCGGTGCCCCCAACAGCTGAGAGTATGGTTTTGTTGCTGGCATGTAAGAATAAATAAAGCTGTGGCCGTTGCCCTTACCCAAATTAATATGGTCTCTCGTGTGTCATTGGGAAAAGGGGCAACAAGTGGGGTTTGGGCATTACATCTAGACAGCAGTCAAGTAATTGATTATGATTTTAGTTGGCCTAAAAAACGATTTCCATATTAGATCCAATATGGATTCTTAGCGGAAAGGTAGATTAGTAACTTCTAATCTTACAGTGCAAAGTCATTGATTTCCGAAACTCATCAGTCATTAATAGACAGTAGGAAAAGTAAGTCCAAACGCGAAGTGTGATTTGATTGATGAGAGACACTGTGCAGACAGCAGAGGCTTCTTCTCCATGACATGTATCCCTCCGATGTCCTACCATAGTCGTGAAGCGCATGCCTGATAATGCAAAGTGGCGCTGAATAGGAAGATCGCATTCCTCCTGCTCCCTCATATTTTTCCACTTAGTTTTTAATGTGGTGTCTATATTATATAATATCATGAAAATCATGAAAATCAGTTTACCTCTGTTTTGGAGCTGGCAATTTTTCAAATGATTCTACTAGTCCTTAAAACAAGATTACCAGAATATACTTAATCTAAAGGGTTATCTTAGGCACCAAAACAGGGGGGGGTGGGGGAGAGGGGGGATTGCATGCTAGGGAGTGGGAGGGCAGGATCCAGGGGGCCCAAGTAAATTCTAGCCTAGGGTCCAATCAATATTAAAGAATATTATAGACAGCCCTGCCCCCATACACACACTGTATCAAACACACACTGTCCCCCATATACACACTGCACCACACACACACTGCCCCCTATACTCACACTGCCTCATACACAAACTTCCCCAAACACACACTGCCCCCCCAAACACACACTGCCCCCACACACACAAACTGCCCCCCTACACACACACTGCCCCCCATACACACTGCCTCAAACACACACTGCACCCCTTTCTGCCCCAAACACACACTGTCCCACGTACACACACACCGCATCCCTGGCGCACACACATGGCACCCTTGACATACACCCTGCTTACCATACACACACCCACTACACCCATCTTACACACATTGCACCCCTCATGCACACGCACACTGCATCCCTCACACACACACAGTGCACCCCTCACACACACACATTGCACCCCTCACACACTACTGCCTTTATCCCCTACTACTGGCCCCATACAATACTAGTGTATCTATCCCGGCAGACCCCAGGTAAGTTGTCAAGCTGTTCTTAAACGGTTTGAATGCTTACTCTGGGAGGGCTCCACCGCACTTCTGGAACCATAACCACTACAGCTCTCTGTACTGTTACTGTGCCAGGATTGTTTCTTTAAATAATCTACCAGTACCCCTCCCGAGATAAGGTTCTGGGTCATTTCTTTGCAGAGAATTGGTTTAATATTGGTTTGAAATCAATGGTCTTTAAAATGTCATTTTCCATACACGAGTGAAAGCTGCCAAAACGCTGCCCTATGTTGCTGCAAAGATGATTTTTTTTAGCAGTTTTGAAAAAAAATAGTCGCATGATCACATGTACAGATAATAGCTGATACTGAGGTGATTAGCTCACCTAATAAAGAGGGTTTGAAGGTTCTGAATGAATTTCTCAGAATAATATACTGAAAAATTGGCAAACCTAGGAGGCCCCTGTGCCCGTGGGGCCCCTGGGTACCTGCTCAGCGTGCCCATGAGTTATGACAGCTCTGACTATGTGTGGATTCAGATTTGTTTTTTTATCTCATTACCAGAATTTTATGTAGTCTACATCTATATGCTATAATTCACTAGTGCTTGTTCAAATATGTTGAAATCTGTATGCCTTTAAATGCTTCTACCCCTTACTAGACATATAATGTAGATGTATAATTGGATGTTAATCTCTGATTTCATTCAGTTTACTTGACCCCTATCCTGCCTGTTTACCAACCCCCGCATCTCTTGCTTTCAGACCCGTTTTATGCTGTTTACAAACACTCCACTCTCCATCTAATTAAAATATGGTATGTTGTCCTAAGTTACCAACATTAAACTCCATTATATTGACCAGTTTTGCTCTATATTATAAATCTCAACTTGCAGGATAGTTTAGCATAATTTGTCTACGGTGGTTGTGATTATTCTGATATTTTATTCAAAGAATTAAAGAGCTCGGGGATGGTTTTGCAAACAAACCAGTTATTAAGGGAAAATACCATCCATTGCTAGCCTTTTAATTAACCTCATTCTGTAACCTGTTTCACTCCAGGGAGTTTTGCAGCCTTGGATGAATTAGTGATGTTAGCAAAGCTAGAAAATCGTGAATAGCAGGTAATAGCTGTATCTACTGGTAAACCCACTTGGTTGCCTTGAGTCCAATGAATCTCTACGGTCTCTCAGTATAAACCAGATTATCCAGATTAAGTAGTATGTCCTGGAGTATATCTATATACTTTTCCCTCCTAGAAGCGGATATAGAATGGTAACTACAATCTCTATGACCTTACGATGTTTACGGAAAATCTATCATATAAGACTAAATTAAGATCTGAAATATCTTACATGATGAATTTTTATAAATGCGCAGGGAAGGAAAAAGGCAGATTAGATTGATATTAAAACAATACTCCAAGCACCATAGACACTATTGCCTGTCCCGGTGTACTTTGCCAAACCATTTCAGTACTGTTGATAATTTACCTTAACCAGATTCTCGTAAAGGAGAAGCCAAAAAGCAGGGTATACAGTCAAAGGCGCCTGGCGAGAACCCAAAATGGTTTGATAAATTACACTAGAATGGTGCTATAGCTTGCCTGGTGCAAGCTGAAGTGGTTTTGGTGCTTGGAGTATTCCTTTACATTTTTTTTATGTAACCACATGAAAATTCTTCATGGAAGCCTTTGAAATGTTTAATCTCACTCAGCTGTTATTTGAACTGTGTTGCGTTTTGTGAGGGGTGCTGTGAAATCTGTCTCTGCTTCTGGAGAAGACCGAGACTTTCCCTCTCTCTAGTAGATATTAACGATGCCCCCGTAACAACTTATATTTGACAGGCAGACAGCTGGGGAGGACAGAGAGGGTATGGGTTAGATGAGAAGGGTAAAAAAGAGGTAAAACACAAGATTAAGGTGGAGACAAACCGCTGTGGAGCACGGAGAGATTATGAGTTAGTAGACAGATGAAAAATGGGATAGAGAGAGAGATAGACGGAAAGAGCATGGGGCAGTACGGTATTAGAGAATTGGGGTAGATATGTTGGACTTAAAAAAAACATGTGTAAGCATGGTAAAGAGGGAATAAGAGGCTGCTTCCAGCAGTGGTGGTCCAAAGGGAGTTGACCGAGGTGTAGTAGAAGCATGATCACCACCATACTTTTCTGGCCCAATGCACACACTACTCATGCTACACGCTCTGTATACAGCATTCACACACTGCCTGCGAATTTCGCGTAATGCCATAGTATTCATACACTACCCACCCTGACCTGATCTCACACACACACAGCATTCACACACTACTCATACACTATTCCCACACTGCGTATAGCATTCCTGCACAACACACATAAACACACATACATAGCGATACCTCCCAACATTTCAAATGGTCAAAGAGGGACACTTTCATTTTACCCAGGACATACTTGAAAACGAGAGAAATCTCAATGTATCTTTCCTGGTAAAATATTTTATAAGTAAAAATATTTTATAAAAAAATACATTTTAGGGGTGTGAGGAAGAGTGTGGCCAGGGTTGCGCTGTCCTCAAAAATTTGAGGTGACTTACTGATAAATTATGCAACATAAATGATTAGACAACTTAGCACAAGAACAACGCATGTTACTTACACAGACATATCTCAACACATTTATTGTAGGTTAAAGGGACACTATAGGCAGCGAGACCACTTCAGCTCATTGAAGTGGTCTGGGCGAAGTGCCCGTCTTCTTTACCCTGCAACTAAAAAATGTTTGGTTTTTTTAACCATTTCATGCCGACGGGAGGGAGACCTAAAGTTAGTGACAGGGGCATACTGTAGCATTAAGAATACCGTTTCTAACTTTATAATGTTTCTTTAAAGACTGTGAGTATTATTGCTGTGGAGCTCTGTTATACACTAAGACACAATAAAAACATGGAGAGTCTGGTAAAGAGGGACATTGTGATAGGATGTAATATTGGCAATAATCCGGGAATGTCATGGACAATACTGCAGTACATACTGCAATAATTACAGAAGTGCAATGAGTTGTTACATTATATTTACAGCTTGTCTGTGTAATAAATGATGCAGTATGATGTAACATGCTAACAGACAGCCTGTACATATAGCAGATAGTGTGATGTCAGATACAATTGTGCTTTTGATAAGATGTTGTCTTAGTTCCTTAGTTATACACCATGGAAAATCTGGACTTATTTAGTTTTCAATGTACCCTATCTGGTCATATTGTATAAATCAGGTCAGTTTGTGCTTTGTTTAAATGACAAATTTTGCCCAAGCAGCTCCCTAAACAATGTAGAAGGTCAGTTTCTATCTGGACTCATTTGAAGTTGAAGAGCTGGGAGAGGTTAATCCCATTTTACAGCATAAAAGTTGGGGAGGGATACACCTGGTAAAAGGATTTAAAGGACAATTAAGGACGAGACTGACAAAAGGTATTTATTGACTGAGTAAAGCAATCAATTCAGTTAGGACAAGTAAAAAAAAATCTATGACTAAGCCACAAAGCCTTTAATTTGATTGTCCCAATCTAATGGGAAGCATAGAAGGCCATAAATGGAAGTCGTAAATAAGGTTGCAGCTGAAGCATTTAACAATCTAGAATCCCGACTTTCTGTGGCTGTCCAATTACAGCTTTCCAGTGCAGCTCAACGAGAAGCCTTTGCAATTACTCTGGACTATTGCTGCCTCTTGAGTTAATCCCTACTGAGCTAAACAAACCAAGAAGCAACAGGACTTGTTGCCTGGCAGTAGGGTGGGAGAGGGGGGAAGTGTAACAAGGTTCATATATAAAAGTGCCAATTTCTGTTGAAATCTGCTTTAGGTGTTTGGAGTGTCCCTTTAAGTTAATTCTGATATGTGATTTCTGTTGCATTAAATATTATGTAGCAACTGTGTATGGATGAAGATGATATATAATATTAATATATTTATATATTATTGGACGAGGTGTAAGTGTATAAGTCCTACCTTCTTTAATAGGGGGAAAAGATGTGGAGGTATCCCAATCAAGGGAAGACGTCCACATAGCTTGTACCAGACGTGTCATTTAAATGTAAAATGGGTTTATTTCTTGCCTATGGTAGGAGACTGTTTGAAATTGTGTGTAATATTATATTACAGTATTATAATATAGATTATATATCTGCATACTTTCCAATATTCCATTTAGTTATAAGGAGAGGGACACCATACAGGTTTGTATTCCTAACGCTACAATGTTAAATTAGACAATTTGTTTTGTGCTAAATTACATTTTAGTTGCATAAATTGTTATTAGTAAATCATCTAAAATTTCTCAAAACAGCCCTGCCCCTGGCCACACCCCCACTTGCACCACTAAAATTAAAGCGGGTCATTTTAAAAGTTGCGAGCTTAATTAATTGGTTTCACCCACACCAGTGGCCATATACTCATTGGTGCGATTTTGCCTTCAGGTGTCATTCTTTCATGTGAATACCGTTAACACTAATTTTGTGGAATGTCACAAGCCACAGGCAATTTACTCAGAAATATTGAACGTGCTCAGTGTCACTCACCCACTGTCAGAGTGTCGATAAGAGGAAAGGTAACACATTTTTAAAATGAAAACAGGAAATAGACAGTAAATCACCTATTTCTAAGCCCGTAGGATATGTTAAAGAAACACCCAACTTTAAAAATAATAATAGCCTTGGAAGTGTTTTGTTTATTTGATTTATTTATTTTGTCTGTACTTTTTTTTTGTCTGTGAAACACCCAGTGTCAGTGAAAGAAACACATGTTTCTTACTTACTTAGTGTTACCATAGCAAAAAAAAAAGTTCTCAGCATAAGAAAAACAAAAGACAATTATCAGATTTTCCAAAGGACTTGCAGTTTAGTCACAATCATAAATGCATTAGAGCTTCTCTGAAGGTTACATAATGATATGTGATGTCCAAAGCATACTAAAAAGGTAATAAACACTGATCAACCACAACATTAAAACCACTGACAGGTGAATTGAATAACATTCATTATATCGTTACAAGCAGGGTCAACAGAATTTGGAAATAAAAAAAGTCGGATAACTTGTCACACTGGCTAGAGCCCTCCTGTATGAGATTTGTTGCTTTAGTGTGATAGGGGTGGGGGAGACCAGTTTCGAGCACTCACTGACCACCGGAGGCTCCTCACAGTTCCCTACAATCTGCTCCATGAATTAACCAAACAAACCTGAACCTGCAAACTATTAAAACCCCAGCCCGCCCGCGGGCCCGATAACCGTTTGGCTTCCATAAATTTGCACTGTGCCATCAGCTGGGGCGCAGCCATGCATTGCACGCCTCGCTCCTCTGTGACACACACCTGACTCTCCCTATTGGTCAGGGAGGCTCAGCGTGGACAATAGGATACTGTCTCCAGCAGAGTTTCAGAAACTAGGCACGAGACCGGTTATAGAGCGCTATTAACTTGCACCAACAAGGCTTCTGCAATGGATCTTTTACGGCACTGGCTGCCTTTCAGATGAAAACCGGGACATTTATGCATCCCGAGAATGTTTCTCGGCATGCTGGGACATATTACCGAAAACCAGGACTATCTAAGTAAAACCGGGATGTCTGGTCACCCTGGTTACAATGGCACCTGGAGAGGAGTGAGATATATTAGGCAGCAAGTGAACAGACAGTTCTTGAATCTCATGTGTTAGAAGCAGTGTTGGACTCCTATGTTAGAGTACACAGAGGTCCGAGAGGTATTAGGTGTTTAGTGTGACTTTTCCCCTGCTTGTTTTTTCTTGTTTTGTGTCAATTAAACTTCTTGTGAACTCTGAACATTTGCTATGGAGTTTTTCAACTTTTTGCTGTTATACCGCTTGATTTGGCTCATTGATGCATGTGGGGAGTGAAGGCTAGCCTGTCTGGTCCAATCACACAGAAGAGCAACTAATGCTGGCCATGATATAAAGGTGTCAGAATACAAAGTGCATTAATGTTTGCTGTATAAGGGGCTGCGTAACCACAGAGCGTTCAGAGTGTCCACGATGACCTAGTCCACCGCCTTTAATGAGAATGTGAAATTCAGAACTGGACCAAAGAGCAATGGAAGAAGGTTGCCTGGTCTGATGAATCTGGTGGATGGCCTGTTGCATGTGCATTGTTTATCTGGGGACGAGATGGCAGCAGGATGCACTATGGAAAGAATGCAGGCCGTAAAAGGCATTGTAATGCTCTGGGCAATGTTCTGCTGGGAACCTTGGATCCTGGCATTCATATGGATGTTACTTTGACACGTGCCACCTACCTAGATATTGTTGCAGACTACATACACCGCTTCGTAGCAACGGTGTTCCCTAATGGCAATGGCCTCTTTAAGGAGGATAATGCACCTTGCAAAAATTGTTCAGGAATGGTTTGTGGAACATGACAAAAAGTTCAAGGTGTTGCCTTGGCCTCTAAATTCCCTAGATCTGAATCCAATTGAGAATCTGTGGGATGTTCTGGAACAACAAATCCCATCTATGGATACGTCACCTCGCGACTTGGACTGCTGCTAACTTCTTGGTGCTAGATACCACAGGGTATGTTAAGAGGTTTTTTGGAAGGCATGCCTCAACACATCAGAGCTGCTTAAGCAGCACAATATTAGGCACTTGGTTTTAGTGTTGTGGCTGATCAGTGTAACACTACAAGCACCATAACCACTACAATCTGCTGTAGTAAATTTGGTGCCAGGAGTGCTCTTTCTCCCTCCCAAGGTAAATAGTAAACCAGGTTGTGAATGGTTTGAAAACTCGCCAGCTGTCACCAGGGTGCCAGCCACCTGTGGAGCCAGAAGCTTCTACAAGGAGCTTCATTCAACTCCTGCAATGAGCTTCATTCAGTTCTTCTGCACTAAGCAGTGATCTCATTGGCTGAGAACATTAGATCAGTACAGCTGGACAGGAGTTGTTAACCATCACTCAATCGACACCTGGCAAGTTGTCAAACTGTTTGCAAATGTTTTGACTACTTATCCAAAAATAAAGGTATTAGTACCACACCAATGGCCATTAAAGTGTAATAGGAATTTGAGACAGTGCGCATGTAACTTTTTTTTTACTTACATATTTGGGCTGATGAAAACTATAGCAATTTCTGTTGCCCAAGAGCAGTGGGAGTTTGAGAGATTGACTACTAATCCTGATAGATCGCCAGGGCACTCTTGGCACCATCACTACTACAGAGGGTTGTAGTGGTTATGGTGTGTGGAGTGTTCCTTTTAGCCAACAGAACTTAGGGAGCTTTTATTTTCACAGGGCCCTATATTTGCTCTGGGTAACACAAATTGATTTCATGATACGCTTGAGCTGCATTTGCTTGTAGCTTGTCTATGGTGTCTCTATAA